AGCACAAAAATATTAAAGGTATTTTATTCTTGATTTTCGCAATCTTTCGCACGCGCAACTTTATTGATCAGGATAATATTAAATTACACGGAAGTAAAAAAGATATCTCTCTTTGTTGTGCATTTGTTTTCTGCACGTATGCCGTTCCACCGCGTCAAGGTGGAGATTATCGGAACGGTTTTTTTTGTATTTTTTGTTTTTTGTATTTTTGTTTTTTTATTTTTTTGTTTTTATCTTTTTTTATATGTTTTTGTTATTTTTTGTTTTTTTTTCTTGTATTCTAAAATTTTTGTCGTTTTCGTTTTAATATTTTTTATTTTATATTGCTGTAAAATCATCTGCTTTATGTTAAAATTACTTTAGATTATTGAGTTGGCGAAACTGAAACTTGTGCTGACTTGTGCTAGGCTAGCACAACTCAGATATGCAATTCTGAGTCGATCCAAAGTCTAGAAGTCGTGATTAATGACATAGACTGCGAGCGCGAAGGGCCGCGGTCAAGAGTAAAGTGCCCTTTAAATTCTAGTGTTGGCGAAACTGAAGCTTGTGCTGACTTGTGCTAGCCTAGAGCAACTCAGATATATAATTATATATCGTTTGATTGACTTATACGAGTATAAATCTTACTTTTCTTCTTTTCTGCCTAAAATCGTTTTTTTCGTTTTATTCCTTTCATGATTATTTTTCGAAGATAATACTTTAGCACAATGTTAGCACAACTTAGCACAACCTAGCACAATAAAAAAAATTTCGAAAATCAAAAAGTGGGGGGTTACCAAAAAAAAACGGTTTTTTCCATTTTTCTCGCTCATTTTTCGTATTAAAAATTTATAATTCGAGCACAATGTAGCACAAACCTAGCACAAATCAGCACAACTGTCAAAATTAATAAATTCGAAAAGTGGGGGGCTAACTTCATACAGGCTACTATAGTCGCGATTATGTCGTGATATTTGCCAAGCTGGACATTTAATTTCGTGCCGGGACAAACGCCCGTGATATTTTTTCCTCGATGTTCTTCGCGTATTTCCCGCAGTAACGAAACTGCGAACAAAAGTGAAACTATACACAAGAAAGCCGGTCTGTAGACGCATGTAATCGCCGGATGTAATATGCGCGGAGAAATGACGCTTGAATTACCAATCCTACGTACGTATTCGATTTTGCACGTCTCCCTATTCATACAGTCTGAGTATCATTGCTTGTCGTTACTTCTTCCGCCAGTGATATAACAAATTCGTGGTCGATACATTATCGGCTTTATCGTTATCTGCGTGTTAATCTCTGAATATTTTTATTGGGCATTGATTTATCATACGAGAGCTTCCGATATATTATTTCGCATGTTGTACTCTTCATATTTACAAATCGCTCGTATCGCGTTCCTATTATCTTGTGAACGCGATATTCGTCTAATCATGCCCGCACTCTCTCGTGCAACAACTCGTGCAGCGAAGTGAATCATGCGTCGCTGACTTTTTGGACCACGCGAGCATATATTTAATATTTCGCTTTAATCAGCGAGCTGTTCCCGCTCGAGATTATTCATATCTTATCGATTCTCGCGTGATAACCGCACCGAAATCTACCCTCGTCGAAGTCGCGCTATCGCCCGCGATGAACATTCAGTGGCAAAAGTAGCGTGCAAAGCGTGCATACGATTATCAGTCGATCGGGGAGACAAGGTAACTTTACGTCCTTCGACAAATTTCGCGTTCATCAGATCTCGTCGAGTATGGGCGTGTGCGTTAAATTCCGCGGACTCGTCGCCGCGGAAATCTCTCGCAACGAAAGCAACGGCCGGCGTTGTCGTCGAGTATACGTAACCTCCGAGGAAGTGGGTCTCCCGAGGACGAGATTGTGGATGCGATGATGTCATCTCCGCGTACACACAACGTGCGCGCACGCACGCACGCACCTACACGCATATACTTACACGCACGTACATGGATACGTACACGTGTCTTGCCCACACACTGGCTCGACGCACACGTATATAATTTCGATAGCATGCGGCAATAACGATCGCAGCAGTGTTTCCCAACCGCGCGATGCATACCCGGTTAGTATCGGTAGCAGACAATAAGAGAAAATTAAAGAAATTTCCGATAATTAAAGGGATGCTAGAGTCGGTACAGAACTCGAACAATGTCGATAATACAGAGACGATCGTCACTAACACAATTACGCTATCCTTTTCGTATTTCTTGTATATGCAGAACTTACATGAATATGTATTGCTTTGTTTTACCATATTTAATGGAAAACCTAACCATATATGTGTAGAAATCTTTCAGCAAACTTTTTCGATATTCTTAAGCTTCCAAATGCAGATGCGAAGGTAGAGCAATGTTCTTAAAAATTTTTCTGTTTGGAGTATCCACACTTTCGATATGTACAAACAAATATTACGCTAACTGACAGACTTGAGATTTTACATTAAAAATTTTTTTTAAATTTTAAAATTTTTAAAATTTTAAAATTTTTGTTCGTTTTCGTCACATATCGAACAAGGCTCCTATTTATTTCTGCACGTATTTTTATTGCGTAAAAGCATTTGTAATTCGGTGAAACCAATACGGCGTAAACTTTGTAGAAAAATGTCAGTGTTCTGTTGGTAAAGTTTCCAGCTTCAGCATCTCCTTAGAAGAACACAAATAAATAACGATATATCTAATTTCTCGTACGATTGATTCCGGTTCGAAGAAGCGAGTTTATGGCTCGTATTAATAACTAATGCTACACTGAGAGAGGAAGGATATCTAAAAAATAAAAAAATATTTGGTGGGCACTAAAAATATATTTACTTGAATTTAAATTCTATTGTTTAAATAGAATAGGTAATTGTTCTTTTTCTGAGCTGAGATTTTAAGAAAGTATGTATTTTCTTATTTGAAAAATTTTGTTTTGTATTAACTGAAACAACTCACATCTAATCCTAAATTAAAATCTAGCTATCTCATTTGAGATGAATTTTAAAAGTAACGATCATTAGTATGAACATTGGTCCGTGTTAAAGCCCTTATTAACAGCAAAGTTTAAGTATCTCATCTGAGGAGTTTCAAGTAACTATTCATACGAGTTGTGACTTGAGTTTTTCTAAGAGAACTTCTAAGCGATATATTTTGTTTGTGTCGCGTAAGATCGTCCCACATGTGCTAATATTTTCTTTGCCTGCTGTATATTATGTTGTTACTCATTATTCATTGCCATTGTTGAGCTCGAGGTGCATTTTCCTCGCACGTTACGCCTGGCGTTCGGAAAACTAGAAGTGGAAATTATTAAAGGTGATCGATCTCGAAAGCATCGGAGCGCTCGCTCGCTTGCTCGCTTTCGTATGTATGTTTTGTACTTACATATCCAAGCGGACAAGTGCATTTCCACCTGTGGCAATCTCAGGATCGACCACTGACCATGTGGCGTGCAATGCGTGTAAAAATAGCGCGCACGGTGCCTCAAGGACGATTTCCAGATATCTGAGAGCTGCTCGTCCGAACCGCGCGATCCTAGAAGAACGTCTCGTCTATTTTCTGCCCGCGAATTGTTAGGCAATAATGTCGTGAATGTATGTTTGGCAACGGTAGCAACCTACGAATAATCGACGATACAATTAGCATTACACGAGCGGGAAACCGCGATAGGATGTGCAAACGGAAGTCAGCATGCACGACTTTGCCATTATCAATTCCGCATATTTAGTTATTTAAAACTATACTTCCATGTAGTAATTAGGAATATCACTTATCGCGTATCAAGTATTCACACAAACGTAGACGAATTGTAACGCAATTTGTCAAACTACCTCGCTATAACGTGCTTCTAACGCACATTTTTGTCGCTTCTTTGTCAAGCAATTTGTACAGTAAATGCCTAACTATTTTTGCTGTGCTATGTATACTTTGTTTCATCGATTGTTACTAATCTATTGTAATGCCTGAAAAAAATATCTAAAAAATAAAAAGTTTATCTGAAAAATAAAAATTTATTCGATGGGTATTAATAACATATATTTACTTAAGCATATCAATTCTTTGGTTTAAAATTATAGAATAAACAATTGCTTTCATGAAAAAAGCAATAATTTTAGGAAAATCTATACACTGTAAAAAATCTTGCGTACACAGTACGTAAACAAATGTTCCAAAAAGTCCATTCTAAATTTTATGTCGAAAATAACTCATTCATATGTTCATTCGTGTGTTACTTATGTTATATACTAGTCTATACATAATGTAAATAACACACGAATGAACATATGAATGAGCCATTTTCGACACAAAATTTAGAGTGGACTTTTTGGAACATTTACGTGCTGTGTACACAAGATTTTTTACAATATATATTCCCTTGGTTTGTCCTAATGTAAAAATATGTACATTAGCATTGGCAAATATATTGACATCCATCGAATGAATGTTTCTTATTTTTTGATATTTTTTCTCTCAGACTTTGTATCATTTATGTGGTTGTATATTTTATATGTGTTGCACAACTTTCTCGTAAAGAGCTTTTCAGCTTTCCCGCCATCATCATTTATCATTCGCGTAGTCATCGTTCGTCCTTCGCAATGATCGCCCATACACAACACGGAAAAATACCTTTGTCAGACGGCTCGTTAAGAAGACGAGAAAAAGAAAGTGGAATATCGGAGACGCGTGATGACGATGTGCAAATACGAGGATGCATTTCTTTCATTGCAGTTATGCGGCCTGGCCATACTGATCGTGGGTGTCATCGCGCACCTGAAACTCACGCACTACGCCGACGCGATTCAGGAGAACGTGACGTTCCCGTCGATAACTCTGATCGTGATCGGCAGCATAATATTCGTCATCGCCTTCTTCGGATGCTGCGGAGCGATTCGCGAGAGTCACTGCATGACTGTGACGGTAAGCCAGCCCGTGAGGAGAAACTTTGTTTCGTCACGCGACTCTCGGAGAAGTCAAAGTTTAATCTTCTCGGCCTTAACTCGCGCACGAGCGCACCGAGTCATTAATTAAAATACGAAGCATGACGATAAGTTGAAGTCCGATAAGTTGTATTTGTAAACTCAAAATGCGTTTATGAGTCGCGCACTAATCTCTCGATAAAGTTGGAACGTAAAGATATATTTAGAATCATTGTATTTATAAACGCATACGGTGGAATTCCCGGAGTTTTCCTGCTCGCGAGGTGCTTCGACATCGCGTTTGATTTATCGGGAAACGATCATCGAAGCCATTCACCGCTGTCTCTTCTCCGGATAGTTTGCGTGTATGTTGCTGACGATCCTGATCATACAAGTAGCTGTTGCTATCTACGCTTTCGTCGTACTGAGGAATTCCGACGACATCGGGGTTAGCATCAGGAAGGCGTACGCTGACGAGATCTTTGCCAAGTACAACAAAAAGGAGAATGCAGAGATCGTGAATGACGTTCAGGCTTTGGTAAGTTCGCCTCTTAAGGAAAGATCAATCTTATTTACTGTATTCCCACGTGCGTGCGCTGCTACACGCTCCACATACACACCGTTGATCGACGATCGAATGTGATCGACTTTAATGTACTTGGTCAAGTTCGACATAGATATATTGATAATTTTGTTAGACCTGTATCTCCTGACGGAAAGCTATCTTGCAGCTTGGATGTTGTGGTGTGGATAATTACGGGGATTTCCAAAAAATCCTGGGTGAATCTATCCCCTACAGTTGCTGTGACGCTAAGGAAGGATCTACCTGTACTCCTTTCAACGCCAGCAAGACGGGTTGCGCGCAAGCGTTGCAGGATGGCTTCAAGTACGCGGGAGCGGTAATGGGTGGTCTCGCTCTGGGTGTCGCCGCGGTCGAGGTAAGACTTCTTTAAGGGAGATCGAGGTGTAATCGAAGAAGAAATCAATCTTCAAACGAAGACACGATAGTGAAAAAGAAGAAAAAAAGCAACGAGCATGAGAAGCATCGTACGTCTTGTAAGGACCTGAGCACTAAGCTTGTCGCAATCGTTTACGACAGTATCGTTGACGTAAGTCGGTGTCGGAAGTCAACGCACAAGGATTGGCGTAGATCAAATATGATTAGACGACACAATTGATGCAGCATATGTCTATGTCAATCCTTGTGCGTTGACTTCCGATACCGACTTACGTCTACGACACTGTCGGAAACGATTGCGACAATCTTTGTGCTCAGGCCCTACCTCTCGCGATATCCACACGCGTGATCCTTTCTTGCTTTTCAGCTGATCGGCATCATCTTCGCGCTTTGCCTGGCGAATTCCATCAAGAATGAGCATCGTAGAGGCTACAGAGTGTAAAGGAAGAAGTGGTGCATTAACGAGGGACGCCGCATCGCGCGGGAAGCTTTCAACGCGCAACAACAACCTTAACGTCATCCTACCATCAGCGTATTCGCCTATAATATGTGATAGAATACTTACGCTTTATAAGATGATAAATTTTTTTCTTTTTTCTTCTGTTTTCCTCTTACTATCTTTTTTTTTTTTTCGAAGAGAGCGAGATAAAGCATCTCGTTTCTTCTTCGAGTTTTTGTTCGTGTCGCCAGTCGTGGCTAAAGTGACGCAAGCGTATTTATAACAGAGACGTTTTTTTCTTTGTTGACTGGAAAAGTCGGAATCTAATGTGAAGCTCGACGCACGACCTGGCAATGAATGTTAGGATTACTATTATGAGCTCGATACTATCTTTCTTTTATTTTCGTACGGAAATAATCCCTTATTTATACAAGTATAGATATATACATATGTACGACTATTTTGATACGATACCGCGTCGACTCACGTCTATTCTCTATAGATTTCCATAAAGAAAGAAAACTAATCCGTTACGCAATTCAATTCTGTACAATTCTTGGGATTTTTTAGTGTGCTCGTTTGAACAATGGTTTGCGCGCGTTCTTTTTCCGACGAAACAAATGCGTTTAAGCCGTTTTTGCGACAGAATATTCAGTCGTTAACTGACGGGAGACGAATTGGGGGAGTGAAAAACAAACGAGTGATAGTATTTTGTTATAGTATTTTACGAGATAAATATTTAAAAAGAAAAAAAGATATTTTCATATAACAAACTACACACAATCGTACCTGGAAAGATCAATTAAACGTCGCTGTTAAACACTTTCATAATCAATTTGTATACAATGCCAACACTTTGTTTGTACAGCACAAAGTTTACTGTATAATTTCGAAATATACAATGTTGACTACACACCACACACACACACACACACGCGCGCGCGCGCGCGCATATAAAAAAATATATATGTGTCTTGTAATAAAACAGAAAAAAATTTTAATCTACGAGAAAGAGCTCGTTGCTGCCGTGCCTGTGCATTTTGTACAGCATTTTTTCGCGAAGCGTACGACAATGCGGCGCGACGATAAAAAAGGGGTGGTTATAAAGCTGGGCGTGGCAAAGAAAATATGTAAATAATTTTATTCAAATAAAGTGTCGATTTTATTCATCGTTTATTCGCATAAACATTATGTGACATCGCTGGACCAATTATTGCCACGGCTCGCGGTTTGATTATTTATTTCGCCATTTTTCCAATTTTTCATCGTCTTCTCCTTCGACGATCGACATTAACCGTCGTGCACACACACGCGATTGCCATTATTAACATTGCTATCCATCAGCGAGAATTGAGCAACTTCTGGGTTGCGTTCGGAAACGTCACTCGAATACTCTCCCTCTCTTTTTTTTATCTCACTCTTGTATCTCGCTCACTCCAACGCAATAGGTACATTTGGGTAACGTTTCCGAACGTAGCCCAGGAGAACAGAAGATCTTACGTTTGTCGTGCGACGGCGGAAGATTAAGCCCATTCTACAATTGCGTGAACGTGGTTGTAAGTGGTTGTAAGTGATTACGACAACCAATCAGAGTAAAGCAATCAGTGAATAAAACATTCCGATTGGTTGACTCTTACATTCACGACTACGCTTACGCAATTGTAGAATGGGCTTTACACGCATCGAGAGATATGTGAACACGAACACAGCGCCGCTTCGGTTCGCCGAATGCTCACGCTATCTGAAGTGCGACACTTTCCCACGAATCACGCTCCGCGCTCTCTCGGGTGTCTTCGGGCAGACTCTGCCATTGACATATAGTATTATATGGGGTATTATTCCGTACACGCTTACCGACAACTGTCGGATCGGTAGGTATCGTTGCGCAGCTTTTCTATGATATAAAAAAGCTGCGCAACGACGTCTATCGATCCGATAATTGTCGATAAGTGATTACGGAATAGAGCCCCAGTGCTGGGATTCTGTAACTCGTTATTGGAGTTAACGACAGTTTCATTATCGTTGCGCAGCTTCTCTACGGTATACAATGTGTCGTTTATAATTTGCAAAATAAAATAGAAATATTTTTAGGAAATATAAGACAGAAAAACATATATACGTATATATTTACTCAAGGATATATATATATATCCTTGGATAATAATAATGGATAAGTAAGGATATATATATATATATATATATATATATATATATATATATCCTTGAGTAAATATATACGTATATATGTTTTCCTGTCTTATATTTTCTAAAAATATTTCTATTTTATTTTGCATTTAATTAAATTTTATTTTGCATATTAAATTTTATTTTGGTATACAAAAGTTGTGCAACGATAACTGTCGTTAACTCTAATAACGAGTTACAGAATCCTAGTACTGGACGGAGCATTGTGCCGAAATCGTTTTGACAGACGTAGAAAGAGACAAGACGATGTGTGGGTAGGAGCAGTTTATGGAGCAACGGGGCGACGAGGCATTTACAAATCTATTATTTTAATTAATTTTTTTTATAACAGTAAAAATGTAGAATATAAGGAAAAAGTGAAATATAAAAATATTTATAGAGTATATAAGAAATTTTTAATATATATGTATTACACGTACAACATGTAATGATATGTAGTAACTTATATGTAGTAACGTATGTTCCTAACTTTTAAGGATACGATACCGTTCCCTTTCTCCTTAAACAAAATTCAACTAATGAACAAGTAGAAAAAGAGATCCATGCCCACACACCTAGCCTTTTCTTTCTAGGGCTGTGTTCCGATATTCACTACCAGTGAAAATGTATAGTTTATGTCACGTATACTGTAGATTTTCAGTACTGACAGTGAATTTCGGAACGCAACATAATACAGGATTCACACCGCAATTGATGTCCAATGTACGACGTCCGATATCCAATAAAAGAATAGCTTTCTAATGGAGAATTAAATTCTATATTAAAAAACTGTTCTCCTATTGGATATCGGACATCGTATGTCGGACGCGGTGTGAATCCTGCATAAGTCTCTCAACACGAAAGATCAAAGAAGCTTGTCGAATGCTCCGTCCACTAGTACACTAGTACCCATTAATTGAGTCCTTTTTTGATGTGGGATAATATAGAGTCCCTCTAATAAGAGTCTGGCAATCACGTATCTTACCAAGACTGCGTTTGCTTTGGGCGCTTATGCGCTGTAAGCGTCATTCTATCTTCTTCCCGCATGTAATGAGCGATAAAGATAAAATGACGTTTACAGTGCGTAAGCGCCCAAAGCGAATGCAGCCCAATAGTCTTCAATTTAAGCATTTTGATTGGTCCGCCATTTTTCTTCGAATTCAGAGGAGGAGCCGCGCGAGTATTTAACTTGATGAAATATTACAATAGCTTAAAACACTCGCGAGACCTATATATTCCAGTAAACACAAAGTATCATCGATATTATAATGTCAACTCAGTCATATGGTATATTCTAATCTGTATCTGTATCTTTATTTCCAACTTCAGCTTCGCGCCAAGAAGCTATGTACATTCTTTTCTTTATATCTATATGCCTTTTATCTTTTTACATTTTTCCTTTCCTTGCATCTTAACCTATTCTTTTTTCTTCTTTCTCTTTTTATTCCTTCCTTCCTTTCTTTCCTTTCTTCCTTATATATCTTTCTTTATCCTATATGTATCTTAACCTATATTGGCAAATTTCTTTCCTTTTTGTTTCTTATCCTTATATTTCTTATCCTATACCCTCAGAGGTTTTGCCACGCCGAAGGTCATATGATTATTATGTAACTGTTATTTTGTTATATAACAAAGTAACAATTACGTAATATACCATATGATTGAGCTGACATTGTAACATCGATGATACTTTGTATTTACTGGGATTAGTTCAGTTTATTACTAATGTAATATATCTTAGAATGAAATAAAATTGTGTTTCTTAAATAAGTTATACTATTCGATAAATCAGAAGGAATATATATATATATATATATATATATATATATATATATATATATATATCCTACAAATATTTTTATTTTATTTTGCAAATTATAAACGGCACATTTTTGCGTGTTTCTCGCAGAACGAGCACCGTGCATGATTACTCGTGTAGTCGGGAGTATATGGCACTGAGTGTCGTGTGTGCGACGACGACGTGTGAGAGATGAATTAACGTTACGCAATTAAAATTATAAGCAGATACGCCGTTTATAGATTAAGAATTTCTAATAAAAAATATATTATTAAGCGGAAAAGTTATGACAGCAATTCATGGTAATGCATAGTGTAATCAAATAAAGGAGATAAATAGTTTAACTTTGTTAAATTTTATTTTATTCTAAGACATTACATTAGTAATAAAACTAACTTAACTTAACCTAACCGAATCAATAGGTCTCGCGAGTGTTTCTTCAGCTATTAATATTCTATTAATTTAAATATTCGCGCGGCTCCCTCTCTGAACTCGAGGAAAAATGGCGGACCAGTCAAAATGCTCCATTTTTAGGCTTCTCTTGTCTCGGGCTGCGTTCCGTTTCATGTAATGCGCGCATTTATCTACAGGGTGTCCCGAAGTCCCATGATGACCTTTGGTGAGAACGTAAAACGGATTGAAGTGAGCAAGAAAG